GGTTCAAACTCAGGCAGTATAGAGTTAAGATTGTCAGCTCTGGAGCCAGACTCCTTGGGTTTGAAGTGGGAGAGAAGAGGAAAATGGAAGGGAGAGAAACAATGAAAAGCTGAGAGGAGACAATGACAGTCCTTATAATCTAGGCCCTGTTCATAGGTAGCAAACAGATAGTATTAATATATCCCAGTTTCCAAACTGTGGTCATCTCTGCCCTGTGACTCTGACAAACCTCTCCCTCATAGGCGTCTGGACTGCTGCCTCTTCCCACACTGCCTCTTCTGTGAGATTCCAGTTCCAACTTGAAGACTTAACTCTACTACCTGACACAGATGATTAAAGGACCTTTTTCTCACAGGAGGAGCAGTTCAGTCAAGATGGAGCCAAGTTGATTGGTTTGGCACGAACAGCCTTAGCGTAAAATGCAGAAGCTATTAGCTGCCTTATTCCAAGGAACTTTTCTTCAGTCTGGATCTTGGAAAACCTTCTGCATTCATTCTTTTATTATTTTACTTATTTTGTCTTATTTTACTTTTATGTGTCTCTTTCTTGGTCTCATTATCTGTTCTCACTGAGATGGTGAGTAAAATGATTGCTTGACCTTACCATCATCTAAAACCAATCTATGACTACATGCATTAGACTATCAACATTGAGACTACCCAATCCCTAGCCATCACCACAGACCTCAGTCTCTGCCTAGCAGATTGCTACCCATGAGCCAGTGAGGTCACCAGGGAACAGTACTCCCAGGTGCCGAGACAATACCAGACACTGATAGCAAAGAACAGGTAAGTCAACAACAAGGATGTAAAAGATATGATAGCTTTGCAATCTTATCGAGCAAAAAGCCAATTAGCTCTGAGGAATTCCTAAAGGAATCATCATATTGTGTAAAAATAGTTCTGTGGGCTTTGGGAGAAGGGAAAACCAAGGTCTGTGTGCTTCAAAAGCCTCAAAGGGTATCACTGCACTTAGCTCATACCACATTTATTGCATACTGAGTAGTATGCATACTGTACAGTTCAGCACTTGGAAGAAGAAATCACTGTGATGTAGTGGCAAAGTGAGCCACAATACAGTAGAGTACTGTAGCTCAGTGGTTCTCAACAGGGGACCATTTGCCGTCCAGGAGACATTTGACAATGTCTGGATGCATTGTTGGTTGTATCAACTAGTGTGTGTATGGGGGTGCTACTGACATCTAGTAGGTTGAGGACAGGGGTGTGGCTAAACATGCACAGGACACATCCCCTCCCCACCCATGTCAATAGTGCCCAGGATAGTGCTTGCTGTATTACAGAAGCCATTCTGTAATAATGATCTCAAAATTTCCTAGAGATGATGATGGTACATGGGAATTCACCATACCATTCTGTTTACTTTGTATATATTTCAAAATTTCTGTAATAATGAAAAGTGAAAAGATTAGAGGGCATTTGCATTTCTGACCCTCATTGAAATGGCAAAAGGTTTTTATGAGCAAATGTCATTGAAAATGAACCACATACATCTTTTAGTGGGTGGCTTTAGAATTTCAAAGTTAGGCAGGACATTACGAGACTAGATATAACTGGTGAAAAATATCATAGAACAGTATAGCATTTTCCGATAAGTCATTCTAAATACAGCCTATCCCCTAGTTTTTTTACTGCAAATGAACCTGGCCTATTTGACAATAGTTTGCCAAATTTAGAAGATAATAGTTCTAAAGTTCATATGACAATACATGTGTGGTAGAATTTTGTCTTTGGTTTGTCTGCATTTTATACATTTTCTGCCAAATATATATATATTTTACTTTTTATTTTGAAATAAACACATATTTAAAAAACTTTTTATTTTGAAATAAATGTGTATATATATATATATATATATATTTTCACATAACGTGTGTGTGTGTGTGTATATATAGGAGCCCTGGTGGTGCAGTGATTAAGAGCTCATCTGCTAACCAAAAAGGGTTGGCAGTTCAAATCCACCAGCCGCTCCTTGGAAACCCTATAGGGCAGTTCTACTTTGTCCTCTAGGGTTGCTATGAGTTGGAATCGACTTGACCACAACAGGTTTTTTGTTATTTGTTTTTAATATATAATATTGTATAGATTTTTAATCTTGAAAATTTATATTTTATACTTTATTTATTTATTTCTGAGCAGGGGAGACAACCCATCCATTCATTTATTGATTGATGCATTTAAAAAAACAAAACAAAACAAAACAAAACCAAAAGGCTTTCCTGATCCCCGACACTGGGCCAGGTCCTCTGCTTGGGCTGCAGATACAGAAAAGAGTAAAATCTGTGCCAGCCTTCAAGGAGCTTCCAGTCTGGTCAGTGACCAGTGCAAACCACTAAGTGCATGGTGTGTTCCCAGGGCTGTGGGGCACCAATGCAAATATTGTTGTTAGCTGCTGTCCAGTCGGTCCCCGACTCACAGTGACCTCACGCATAATGGAACAAAATGCTGTCCCTGCTTGGTCCTTTGCCGTCTCCATCATTGGTTGCTGAACAGACCATTGTGATCCACAAGGTTTTCATTGGCTGATTTTCAGAAGTGATTACCAGGCCTTTCTTCCTAGTCTATCTTTGTCTGTAATTCTACTGAAACCTATTCAGCATCATAGCAACACACAAGCCTCCATGGACACATGGGTGGTGGCTGTGCATGAAGTGTATTGCCTGGGAATCAAACCCGAGTCTCCCACATGGAAGGAGAGAATTCTACCACTGAACCACCAACGCCCCAAAGGCACGTGTAGGATCCTCCCGTTTTTTGGTTTATTTATTTATTTTTTTGGTATTTTTTAAATTGTACTTTAGATGAAGGTTTACAGAACCAATAGTTCTCATTAAACAGTTAGTACACATATTGTTTCATGACAATGGTTAACAACCCCATGACATGTCAACACTGTCTCTTCTCAGCCATGTGTTCCCTATTACCAGCTTTCCTGTCCCCTCCTGCCTTCTAGTCCTTGTCCCTGGACTGTTGTGCTCCGTTAGTCTCATTTTGTTTTATGGGGCTGTAGATTTTATATTTTAATATACAATACTTTATTTTAAATATTGAGTATATAAATCATTATAATTTATATAAAACAATAATTTATGCAATAAACTCGTTGCTGTTGAGTTCATTCTGACTCATAGTGACCCTATAGGACAGAGTAGAACTGCCCCATAGGGTTTCCAAGAAGCGACTGGTGGATTTGAACTGCTGACCTTTTGGTTAGCAGCCGTAGCTCTTAACCATTCCACCACACAATATAGCTTATATATTATAATATTTACAAAATCAATATAATTTATATATACCTATCCACCACCTCTATGGCAACGGGGATCCACCACCTGTCTGTCAGTTTTTTGTACTGTGGTCGTTTGCATGTTGTTATGATGCTGGAAGCTATGCTACCAATATTTCAAATACCAGCAGGGTCTTCCATCATGGACAGGTTTCAGAAGAACTTCCAGACTAAGACAGATGAGGAAGAAAGGCCTGGCCATCTGCTTCCAAAAATTACCTAATGAAAACCTTATGGATTACAGAATATTGCCCAATATAGTGCTGGAAAATGCAAACACACCAATGATGATGAAGATGGTGCAGGACCAGGCAACGTTTTGTTCTGTTATACATGAGTCAGAGCCAATCTGAAGGCAACTAACAATAACACGGAGCGCTGGTGGCACAGTGGTTAAGTGCTCAGCTGCTAAACAAAAGGTCGGCAGTTTGAATCCACCAGCTGCTCCTTGGTAACCCTATGATGGGGCAGTTCCACTGCGCTGGAATTGACTCGACTGGCAACAGGTTGGTTTTTTGGAACAACAACATATACATCTATATGAAATATTTTATTTTGAAACAAATGTTGACATACCATGAAATGTTATTTTGAAACAAACATTAACTTTTTTATTTTGAAATAAACATTTTAAAACTTTTAATTTTATTTTAAAATGTTGCAAAAATAGAACAGAGAATTCCCATATGCCCTTTGATTCTTCAAACGTTAACATTTTACCACATTTGCTTTATTTGCTACTAGTTATTTTTCTGAAATATTTACAGCAAGTTGCAAAATAATGCCACATTATTTCTAAATATTTCAGAGGGAATTTTCCTGCAACAAAGACTTTCTCTTACATAACCACAGTACAAGTATTAAAATCAGGAAATTAACATTGATACAACATTATTACCTAGTCTACAGATATTCTAATCTCATTTCTGGGGATGCTTACTTTCATCACATAGTTAGGACGGTGTCCACCGTGTTTTTCTACCATAAAGTTTCTATTTCACCCTTTGAAATAATAAGTATCTTCTGGGGATATACTTTGAGACTGTAAATATTCAGTTTCCCATCTTACTTGCGCCCCCAGTTTTGCGTAAGATTACAAAAGCGGTAGACACAGTAGGGTTTCAGAACACATAGCTCCTTGTGTTTCCCAGGGCCGATTTTTGGTTCTTCCCTTGTATTAGCATAATGCCTGGCACACAGTGAATGCCCGCCCGCTCCCCGACTAGTTTCTTTTATCTCAGCCATTAGCAGAGTGCATTGTAATTTATCTGCTTGTATGTCTGTTTTTCCCACAAACTGTGAGCTCCTCGAGGGCAGGCATTATGCCTTATTGTTTCTCACTACCAATGACAGCACACATATAATATGTGCTAGACACTGGAGATACAAGCAGATAAATTACAATCGAATTTGAATAGTCGGCTGTAGATACTACAGAATTTAAGAATTATGAGTCAGACTAGGAACGGCATTTTTCCTGTTCTAAAGAGAAACGAGGGTGGCGGAAGGCGCGGCTGGTATGGTCACTTTGCGAAGGGGCCCACGGCTCGTGGCCACACGGTTGACGGCCGGGCCTCGGGCTTCCGCGAGGTTCGGAGGAAGGTGGGGCGGGAAATCAAAAACCGAACTCTCAGCTCCCGGCATTCCCCGTGGGCGGTTCTCCCCTTTGACCCCTCGCTCGCGTGCTACACATCCGGGCTTCTGCTACTAGTGAGGGGAAGATGGCGGCCGCAACTGTGGTGGTTCCCGCAGAGTGGATAAAGAATTGGGAGAAATCAGGGAGAGGCGAATTGTGAGTGTCCAGGCTGGAGGAAGGCGCCCGTCTGGGCCGGGCCCGGGCAGCGGCCGCCCTCTCCTGTGTGGCGGGAGGCTGGGGGGAAGATGCGCCCCCTCCCCCACCCGGGCGGCGGGCGTGGACGGTTGGCTGGGAGTTTCGAACTCTGGGAGGAGAGGTGCTCGTAACCGCCGCGGACCTCCTTCCTTCACTGGGCTCCATAAAGTCCCTGCTTCCCGCGGTAGTCCGGCTTCCTTTAGCCTCTTCGTAGAACTCCGTTTCGCCCCCGCGGGTCCCCGCGCTCCTGCTCGGTCTCTTTTTGTCCCTCTCTTCGCTTGAGCTCACTTGGCTCCTTTCTCTTTACGGGGCCGCCGGGGGGATTCGGACTCTCCACTTCTCTCTGTCCCATTTCTTCACTCTGCACCCGTTCGACTCCGCAGTTTGGAGCCCGGAGCCTCCTCTGCCCGAAGTCCGAGGAGGGCGAACCGTCCCGGACTCCCTTCCCTCCTCTCAGCCCGCCGCCGCGAAGCCCCGGGCGTCGCGAAGAGCCCCGCTTGGCACCTCTCGTCCTCCCGGGGAGCGGTCTCTCGGATTGTCCCGGCCTCGCGCGGCGCCGCGGCCGTGGGGAAGTGTGGCAGGGATTGCCGCTTTCCTCGAAGACCTACCGGCATTTCTTTGCTCGTGTTTTCACCTTAGACCCTTTTCGGGTTGGATTCAACTTTCGTCATTAAATGTTTCCTAAACCCCATTTTGTCCTGGGACTGCAACTAATTTTGGCAACTTTCCAAGCTTCTCGAGTACCTAGGATAACGCATTTCCTTTAGCCATAAAACTTACAATTTCCCCCCAGTAACACAGAAAACAGTAATTTGCCGTACCCGCGGTTTCCTCGCCCAAATTTTCAGCTCGCTCGCTCTGTCTCTCCCTCCCCCATCTTGGGAAAAAAAATCGTTTAAGCAGCAAAAGGAACCACAGATTTAAAAACAACTTAGTTTTAATGTTCACTGAATTGCTTTAGAAGGTAAAGCTGAATCCCGTATGAGCTTAATGCTTGTTAGCCATTTTTGTCGTCGTCGTCCCCATCCCCCCTTCCAGTAGCCAGTTTAAGGTTGCTGGTGCGAAAAGATACGAATCTTTGGAACTTCATTTCTTGGAACGAAACGCGGGGAACGCGTTGCTGGATCTTGCGCGTGTGATATGCCAGTCTCTATGGCCTACCGCCCCTCCTATGCGCACGGCCACGAAGTCTTAACCGAGGAACCCTAGAGTTGGATTGCCTGAGTAAGCGGCCGTTTTAGCCACTTGGCTGGCATAGTGACCTTGGTTAAGTTCCTTAACCACTTTGACTGTTTCCCCTTGAATAAATTGGGAATAATAGTACTCTATTCAGAAGAGTGTTGTGAAGACTAAATGATATCCTTGTAAAGCACTTGGCATATAGTAAGTGCTCTAGTGATAGCTATTAATAGTAATGTTATTATTCCAACCTATAGATATTTAAACTTACCGGTACAGTTCTTGCTCTTAAAGTCTGTAGCACTCAGGTTCGCAGTTAATTGGTCTTTGACTCTTTCATGTGTATTTACTTCTGTTCTCTAATGAATTGAGAGGCCCTTGAAGATTAGGGACTATGTCTCATATTTCTTTTGATTCTGCCCCTTCCCTCCTGCCAGCCCCTCTAGCACATGATTAGAGTGCTTATTGGTTTATTAACAGAGAAGTCCATTTGATAAACATTCATTTTTAACTGTCAGGAACGTGATCCAGATTCTTACACAGCCAGTCAACAATTATCTGTTAAGTCCCCGGTGTGCATGCAGGGAAGACAGGATGGGAAGTTACCAAACTAAACCATCATCATCTATGTTAAATTAGGATAACCCAAAAGACTGATAAATCACTTCCTTGTTTTGTTAGGAGCTCTGGTGGCACAGTGGTTAAGGCACTCGGCTGCTAACCAAAAGGTCAGTGGTTCGAACCCACCAGCTGCTCCGTGGGAGAAAGATGTGGCAGTCTGCTTCTGTAAAGATTACCACCTTGGAAACCCCATGGGGCAGTTCTGTTCTGTCCTATAGGGTCTCTGAGTTGGAATCAACTTGTTGGCAGTGTTTGGTTTTTGGTTTGTTGTTACTTTTAAAGCCAACTTAGTTATTTAGAGGCTGTCATCTTTGGAGATTGCTCAGCTTTCTCCTTCCTGCTGTTTTTGACAGTTTTACTATTATTGCTCCTACCTTAGAATGAGTGGTATTAGGGCTAGGAGGTAAAATTGAGAGCCTTCTGTTTGGCTTCTAACTGGCGCTGGTTGGGGAAAAACAAAATGATGTTGGAGGTTGAAATACTTAGCCAGAATGTTATTTTGAATTCACTTTACGTATATTTACATGATCCATGATACCTGTCATAGTTCCTGAGTTTGAAGAGCTGCTTCAAAACTCTTACTAGGACTTACATGCATGTAGTTATTGCATGGCTTGTAGAATGTGGTTTGAATTATAGTAGATTCAAATCAGTATAGTCAGTTTTATAATTGTATTGTTACACTTAAAAGTGTTTGAAGTTAACTGTGTAACATAATGGAATATTTTACATAGTGAAACATTTCACCATCCAGTACTTAGTTTTCATTTGACTTCTTTTCCCTCTATAAAAACTTTGTTGCATATAGCCTAACTTGAGACTTTTTGTCATCCTGCTGAAGATAGATGTTAATGTTTTCATTTCATTAGACAGAACAAATGATGATGTGACTGTATTACAAAAAATCCTTTCCTTTGTCTGAAGAAAGCCTCTTTTATTTTTTTCCCATACAGAAATTTATACATACATTGTTATCTGACTAATTGCTCTCCCCATACTGTGACAGCACACTCCTCCTTTCCACCCCTGACTCCCCATGTCCATTCAACCAGCTCCTAACCCTCTCTGCCTTCCCATCTCACGTCTGGACAGAAGCTGCCTGTTTAGTCTCTTTTATCTACTTGAGCTAAGAAGCACACTCCTCACGAGTATCACTTTATGTCCCACAGTCCAGTCCAATCCCTGTCTGAAGAGTTGGCCTCGGAAATTGTTTTAGTTCTGGGCTGATAGAGAATCCAGGGGTCATGCTTTCTGGGTTCCTCCAGTCTCAGACCATTAAGTCTGGTCTTACCAGAATTTGAGCTCTGCACCCCACCTGTCTCCTGCTCCATCAGGGACTCTCTGTTGTGTTCCCTGTCAGGGTGGTCATTGGTGGTAGCCGGGCAGCATCTAATTCTTCTGGTCTCAGGCTGATGAAGTCTCTGGTTTATGTGACCCTTTCTGTCTCTTGGGCTAATACTTTCCTTGTGTCTTTGGTGTTCTTCATTCTCCTTTACTGCAGGTGGTTGGGACCAATTGATGCATCTTAGATGGCCGCTTGCAAGCTTTTAAGACCCCAGATGCCACTCACCAAAGTACGATGCAGAACATTTTCTTAGTAAACTTTGTTATGCCAGTTGACCTAGATGTCCCCTGAAAGCATGGTCCCCAGGCCCCCACCCCTGTTACTCTGTCCCTCAAAGTGTTTGTATTCAGGAAACAGCTTTGGTTTAGTCCAGTTGTGCTGACTTCCCCTGTAGTGTGTGCTGTCCTTCCCTTCACCTAAGATAATTCTTATCTACTATCTAGTTAGTAAATAACCCTCACCCTCCCTCCCCACCCTCGTAACCATCAAAGAATGTTTTCTTCTGTGTTTAAACCTTTTCTTGAGTTCTTATAATAGTGATCTTATACAATATTTGTCCTTCTGTGACTGACTAAATTCACTCAGCCTAATGACCTCCAGCTTCCTCCATGTTATAAGATGAAAACAGCTTCTTTTAAGTGTAGAACAGCAAATGGAAAATGTTAAAAGCAGAGGTAGTGTGTCATCAAATTATGAGTGAGTCCATTTATAGTTTTGGCTTTTAGAGTATGACAAATATTTAAAATTGTATCTTTGATGGATCTTTCGTTTTTAAGGAGATAAATTAGCAGATGAGCTTTAACTTGGCTGAAAATTACCTTTTAAAAAGGTATGATGTAGTTCATAATATTGTTAGTTCATTTCTTGTCTGTCACTTCTTATCGTAAGTCTGTATTCTGGTTGTTGCACTTAACTTCAGCATCATAGTGTTAAAAGCAACACATGAGATATGGGCATCTAAAAACTTCCAAAGAGGGCAATTTCTTAACTGTGCCCTATGAAAAGCTATTGTCTGTTAGATGGAAGATCTTGGCTTTGAAAAATAAGTTTTGTTAGGTACTTAAGAGAATTAAAACTGTATTTTGCCTAACTGCACAGTCCACCACATACCTGTTTTTCCAGAGATACTGATTGTTTTTAATGGTAAATTATAGAACTCTTAAAGTGATCTTTTTCAAATGGTACCAAAAAGGCAGAGGACTACCAAACGTAATTATTAAGTGTCCTCTCCAGTAACACCTAGATCTGGTCTTAGAATCTTTTCTTAGATTCTTAGAATTTTTTTTCCTTAAATCTAGTCTTAGAAGTTTCACAGTGTAAACCCTTTCAAATTCTGCAACATGTGCAAGATATGGATTTAATCACTTTAATTTTGGAATTAAGAGTTTTAGTGTCTTCATGATTTTTTGTTAGCATAGGACTTGCCTTGATTAAGCAAATAGACTTGCCTGTGCTAGTAGATCCAGCAGAGAATTCTGTTTTTAGTAGAAATCATTAACACAGTGAGCTCAGCATTTCTCTCTGTCACAGGCAACCTTAATGGAAGACTTATGTTCCAAGCTCTTAATCTGAAGATGCTAACCTCATGTAAATGCTTTAGTCTAGTTTTGAAATATATACTTACATTTGTTGAGTATCATCAATTTGTCTGGTTGAAGAACTTATTTCTTTTTCTTTTAAGAAATCTACGTATTCCAGTTAGAAATTTTTGTTAGGTCTTTCCTTATTAATCATTGGTAGTTATAATAAAGATTTAAAATTTAACTGCTAAATGTTCTCATTGCCATGCCTTTTCTTCTTCTGCTACTAAATGATT